TTGTCAGATAAGACAGCCTCATTACATTTTCACACCTATGTTATTGCATGTTCTAATTAAACATATGAGTGGATTGCTTTGATAAATACAATGACTTTTCTTTTTGAAATATCCGTGTCATGGAGTTATGATTTCCAGCCTGAGAGATGCATAATTCCTGGGGGGTCCATGAACTGCTCTTAAGAGACCTGTGAGAAACAATGAAGAAAAGAGAACTTGCTACAGACTTGAATTTGCTGACTACTGAACATATTTTTAGAATGAGCGGCTTGCAAATTAAGAGCCACCATCATAGAGCAAAAACTTTGGTTTATATATTTCAAAGCCAAAATATGCCATATTTAATGACATGCAAAAATAAATAAAAAGCTTTTGGAAAAAATTATTCCAAAAGCGTATTGGCAATTGAAACTGAAGTCCCTGGCTCTGCAAGTAGATCAACATGGGTGAACTTAGGTGCTTACAGCTCATATTGCTGGACTGGGGCCTACTCGGGAAATTTAGAAGCGAAAAGTTCCTGCTATTATATTGCTCGTAGGTCTTTCTATACAGTTGAATATAGTAATTACATAACTTCTCTTTTTTTTTTTTTTTTTTGAAGTGAATAATAGGAATATACTACAGCCGTACCATGTAGCAGAGTTAATGCCACAGCTGAATATTTCTTGGTTGTCTTGCAGTCTCTTTTAAATTATTTTTAGCCTTGAAGCCTAACGCTGTCCCTTAGCATAGCTCTTGGGGTTCTGCATGTTTAATTGGCAAAGCTCTTCACTTCACAAAATGAAGAAAAATTCTTCAGCATGATAACAAGTGGGCCTTCGTTATCCGATAGACAGCTGGTGCTGTTTAACAAATGAAGCCAACAGTGTACTGAACTGAATGTGTGCGCATACTCGCAGACACTTGTGGCTGCTTGTGCTCCAGATGGCACTTTCAAATGTATGCAACTTCATGAACCAACTGGTAAATTAACTCTAATTCATTGCAAATTCTAAACTGGGCAAGATTGAAACTATACTGACAAGGTTTTCTAAGTTGAGCTGCTGTGGAGTTATTTGCCTCAGCTTCACAAAGGAAAATCCATTGGGGAGCCGTAGGATATAGTGTTCCTATTTGCGTTTGCCTTCTTTGATTGAAAGATGTAACTTGTTCTTTTAGATTTCTCTTGGGCTTGGAGCCAAATTGTGCTCCCTTGAAGACGATCACAAAGCTAGCTTCATTGCAAATGGGATTGGGCTGCAAGCATGGAAAATAGCAATTCAAAAGCTTTTTTTTTTTTTTTTTGAGATATTTGAATCTTTTTATGTGAAAGGAGAGAATTGTAGAGGGTTACGTAGCTGTGTAGAAACTGTAATTACTGCACTCTCTACTGTACCTCAGGGAGGGGCAGCTACATTTCTTCACTACCATGCAGGATGTGGCTACCCTTCTTGCCAGAACAGGGTCCCAAATTTTCCTTTTGGACATCCTTAGCATTATTCCCCATCTAGTAGTTTGCAGTAAGATGAAGTGTGCTTCTGTCATCTGTGAACAAGAGAAAGGCAAAATGTGAGTCCCAGCCCTATTGGGAGCCAAGTGCGCAGTGTACAGTTGCACAATAGGTTGGTTTGAGTGGAGGAGGAATTCCTGTCTGCCCTCTAGCTGTTTGCTTGTGCTGCTGTTCATCATGGTGTTGGTTTGTGTTGTTTGGGGCTGTGCTGTGAACTAGGTCACGGAAAGGATCCGAGACAAAAGCGTGGCAAGGGGGAGAATAGGGATTTTTTTCAGTGGTGCTGTTTGCTCTCTGTGAATTGCATTGACACAACTGAGTGGGGAACTGTGGTGTGGAGGTGGAAGCTATTTACACTGGCCTTCCTGTGAAAGCTGACGTATAGTGTAACTGTACCCTCAGACCAGAGGAGCCTTCTTTCACACAGGGCTAAAAGCTCTGCAAACAGACCATGCCTTCAGTGGAGTCCTGTGAGATGCAATGATCCTTTGTGAAACCATTTGAACTAATTAAATTGAATTCTCAATTATTGCTTGTTTGTGGACGGATGAGGCCCTGAATGATCGGCTACTTCTTAATGCTGAATAGTTGTCCCTGTCCAGAGGGGATAGAATAAGGGTGGTGATGATTATTAATTCTGCAGTGGAGGTGTTTAAAAATTGCACTTAGTTTGGATCTAGTTGTGCTAGGTAGGATGCACATGTCAACTTGCCTTCTGTAGCTTTGTTCAGGCTCTAGGGGTGGGATCTACTGGGGTGGTGACCTGTCCAAGAATGGTTTCTGTGTCTCACATCAAAAGGGCTCCAACCAAGAGACTGTTCGGGCTGTTGTTTTTCTTTTGGTCCTCTCCCTACCTCTTCCTCAGCAGTTCAGAAAAATTTTCTGGGGTAAGGCTAGTCCCCTTTCTGCCATAACATAGACAGGAGGTAGTTAACCTACTTGGTTTGGCTATGAGAAGTGCGTGGCTGGACCGTTCTCTCTGCAAGCTGAGCTCCTCTTCCCTTGATTTCCTCGTTTCATCTTGCTCAGGTTGGGAGTGGGATCTAGCTAGCTGCCCGTGCTAAACTTTGCTGGTCAAATCTAGGAAGCCTTGTTGAAGATCAGCCTCAGTTGAACACCAGACAAAGCCAGTGGTCTTCCCCTTTTTCCAGCTCGAGTCGGGCAGACATATTTCTGTTCCCAACAGGCCCGTAGCTGCCTTGGCAGGAAACTATTTAACCATCAGTGTGTCCTGCAGCAGGGGCTGGGAGGTGTTGCAAAGTTCCCACGTTCAATACATTGCTTTTGACTGCAATCCAGCAGCCTTAACGTTTTCTGGGGGCTCTCTTGTTGACTTTTCACAGAGCTGTGTCAAAACCGTTGCTCTTGTTTACAGAGAAAAGGAGAGTTCACATGATCCAGCCTGCCTCGGTGTTCGTGCGTTAGCCTTGCCACGAGCCTGCTTTCTGTGCCTGGTATCCAGCATTGCCTTGCTTCACCCCACCGTAAAATGGGAACTGCACGCCCGTGCATTTTCACAGCAGTTTCTACCTGCTGAAATGTTCTCTCTCCAGAGAAACGTGACCCTGTGTTGCTGGAGATGACAGGGGGCATGAGAAGCTCTCCTCCTAATCTGTGTCGCAACTGATTCTTCTGTCTGGGATTTGGGAAAAAAATTCTGTCCTGTAATTAAAGGAAAAGGCTGGGAACTGGCACTTTTCTCGTGGGTTCCCCCATGCCACAGCGCTGCCATGTGATCGTGGGTGAGCAGTTAACTCTCACGTCAGCGCTGCTCACGTAACTGAGAGCATTCCTGGTTTGTTGTGCCTAATGTCTGTGAGCTCTTGCATGGCCAGGTCCAGTGTGAGTATCATAGTGCTTTATGGGGGTGGGGAGGAGAGGCTTAGCCCCGTTTAGCAGTGAAGGATGGGTGCAGAGGAAGGGATTTACCCTAGGTTGCCTGGCAGGGCAGTAGCAGGGCGGAGAAACTCAGCTTTTCTGAGTCCAAGTGTATTGCTGGAGCCATAAGCCACAGGCTGTGTGTGAACCTAGTGAGTTAATGAGTGTTTCAACATGTGTACCAAACTGGGGGATTTTTGTTCGTGTTATGTTAATGATGACCTATTCCGACCTGTGCTGTGCCTTGGCTCTTTGTTCTACTGTGCCTGTACGGTTTAAATTCATCCTCACTTTCCCTTCCCAAAACCAGGCCTTATGGTTCCACCCTTGTTTCCTTTTCCTAGATTTTTTGCTACCTTTAAGGAGCTCTCTTAAGGCATGATACACTCTTACAGCCTGGGAATTTGTCTACACAAAAGGTCCCCTCCTCTACTTCTCCTTTCAAAGAGCCTTGGCAAGCCCAAGTGCTCAGCAAATACCTGCAGGTCCTGGTGCAAAGGGACCACTTCTCAACGTTGTTACAGGTTGCACCGTGAACCAGGGAACCCTGTGGTGAAAGGATCCAATTCTTTGGCATGGTTTGTATGTGGTAGAGGGCTGTACTCGACTCTACACTTATTTATGAGCTTTTCTGGAGGTGTATGTAAGAGGGGACATCTTTCTGTGTTTATGGCTGGAAAGAACGGTTGGCCAAGTATAAAGCCTGATTTCTCCTGTTGTCCCTTCCTGTGTTAGGGGAGGGAGAGGGTGGAAGGCAGTGGCTGACTGTTTTATTGCAAACAGCTTTGAAAATTGCTGTGAGCAGAAAACAAAGGAGGGATTTAATTTAATTTAAAGCAGCCTTTTCCTTGCTCTCAAACTGCAGTGTAACTGGGCCTTCCATTCCGCTGGTGTTGGTTAGAGGCAGCAATAGTCTGGGTAGGAAACATGTGAGAAAGCTCTTTCATGCCAAACGCTGTGCTGTGCCAATGCAGCTCCATCGATAGCTGCAACCCCTCTGTGTACGCCTCTTTATAGTATGCATTCACCCTCCAAGCTGGTGACTTGATCCCCTCCCTCCTCTCTGTTTCTCTTGTCGCCTAATGCAGAATCTGGATTTGGAAGGGGTCAGTGTCTACCCTTCTGTCCCACGGAGAGTTCCAAGTTTTTGACCTGCAACTATTAGGAATTGTTCTGATGTCTCCCTGTTCCTGTCCCAAAAACAGCGCCTCTCTTTTGCCCTTTACAGTTAGGACTTAGGCTGCTGTTCCAAATGGAGGTACTTTGTAAGAAATGTTGGCCCATATAAACTAGATATGTTCTCTAGTCAGCGTTCCCCAGTGTTATTAGTATGTGTGTATATATAGATATAATTTTTAATAAAATTCAATTCTTCAAGGCCCAAATTAACTTTTGGAGTAAAGGTTGCAAAGGAAGGGAGGTGCTTATAATGCCATTGATTGTATAGTAACTAATGCTTGTTAAAAGGGCACGCCTTGCAGTTATGAAAACAAAGCAGGTTCAGACATGGTGGTCTGATCTGTTCCTGCATTTCTCCTGGGATAGTCATATTCCCCCCTGTGCCTTCCTCCAAGCAGACTATAATGCTCTGGTTCTGATATATTTGGGATGTGCTTTACACAGGTGTAAAGACAGGGGTGGGGAAGTCAAGGCCAGTACTCTTTCTGGGAGTGAATTTCTATATCTAGGCTGCTGAGTCATCTCCAAATCACTGTCTTTTCTAAGTGGCTTGTGCTATTTCTGACTTTTGGATGAATGGACTACATTTGGCAAAACAGAGGTACGTTACCAGCTTATTTAAAGCTCTACAAATGTGCGCATTTTTCTGTAGACCTGAAAGAGGTGCATCAGCCAGGAAGAACTTGTGAACTGGGCGCAGACAGTGTGATGAGTGCTGGTGTGTGGCTGGGGTGAAGAAGTTGAGGGAATTACTGCAGTAGGAATGCTGTCTTGCTTTGCGTAGTGTGTGTTTCCATCCCTGCTTGTCTTTCTCTAGGTCGATGCTGAGGAGTACGGCACCCTCCCTCCCCTCTCCTGTGGTTGGGTTCCTTGTAACTGAAGCTCACTCATTCCCTGAGGACCAGACCTCACTGATGACTGGGAAGCAAAGAGTACCCAGAAAAGCACTTTTACCACGGACTCCACCTCAGGAGCACCAGCAACTCATCCTCTAAGTAACAATCTCTGCCCCTTCTGTGCAGTCCTGATGTCTGCTACCATGGATACAGAATCTACATATTCAGGATATTCCCACTACTCAGGTCACTCCAAAAAAGCCCACAGACAAGGGTAAGAAAAACTTATTCTAAATTACTGGCCGCTCAAAGCGAGGATACCTCCTGTGGAAAAATTTCCAAGTTGGGCTCAAATCCCTGGGGCTACACGGGGGAGATGCAGGAAGAGAGACTTTATGACGAAGGCAGTGAGGAGATCGGAAGCAATTATCCCACTAATTTAGTGGTATTCAACCAGTTACATGTACTCTGGAGTCATATATGGCTGGAAAGATTGGAGAAGAGTCAGCAGAAGGAAAAGATCACTTAACTGTATTGAGCCCGCTCACTTTTAAGAATAGAGTCTCTGAGAAGAAGATATGTCAAGGTTCCCAAACTGACGTTTGTCCCTTTTTCCCTTTCCATGCCATTTCTTTACCATGTAGCAGTAAGGCTTCCTTCCTCTCCTCACCATCCTCCTGGCTGCTCTTTATTGTTTAAATAGAATTTGAGTGGTACTTGAGTCTGCAACGAATCCTTTATCAGGTTTAATTGGATTAGAAGTCAGGCTTTTCCGGACTTGAATAGCAAGTCCTTTTTCTGCATGACTGTTGCAATATTCAATAGCCTGAAAAAAACATCTGATTACTTTGAAACATTATCTTTTTTTTTTCCTTCTCTCTCCTTTATCGTCATTAGCTTTACATGTAGGACTTGTACCGTTTGTGGTCTTTGTAACTTAGAATGAGTTTGTCCAAAGTAACTTTGCATTTCAGAAGCAATTATCCTGTGTAGTTGGAAAAAGAGCTCTTCTGTGAAAAGAAGTCTCTCTGCTTGAAGTCCAATTCTTGAGTAAAGTCTCGTTTGCCTTTTCTCCTTCTCCCTTAAGTCCCCTTCCCCCCCCCCCCAAAATATGGGGTGCCATTTGAAGTTTAGAATACAATGTGAAAAGATGCCTTTGAATTTCCCAAAAGAACATTCAAAATCCTAGAGCCTCTGTCATCTGGTGCAAGAAACTGTCAGAAACCGTTTTAAGAGAAGCTGGGATGGTGGCAAGATACTGCTGCTTCCTTTGCTTCCCTCTGCGATACCTGAGGGGTTAGGCTATCCCAACCACCAGGCTGTAGGCTGCTCTGGGCTAGGTTGCTTTCTGCCTCTTCTAAAGCTTGTTTCATCACAGATTGAATCATTATTGATCAAGAGATGGAACAAGCGTGACTCTAGCCTTGCCATACTTGCCATAAATACAGATATTGCAGGTTCCAGGCCCTGTTTCAGAGACTGTCTTTCTGGTAACTTTCTTCTCCTCTTGCTCTGTTTGGAATAAGGAGTCGGGACAGGCACAAATCACCACGAAGCAAAGACGGCAGTCGATCTGAGAAGTCCGTCACTATCCAGGCACCACCTGCAGAACCGCTGCTTGGGAACGATGCCTCTCGGACAGAGGAGGGCCAGGTAAAGAGGGAGCAAAAATGAACATGGAGTGTGGTTTGTGGAACAGGCTGCCTGATGCTACCAGCACATGAGTAGAAAACGTTGCTTTCATGCTAGTAATGAACGATCATGAGTTATTAGTACGCTCTCGTAGAGCTAGAGTGCTGTGGTACCATTTAGAATTAGCCTGGCACAACAAGGTGTGTGTGGGGGGGGATTTTTTGTTTGTTTGGTTGTTTTTTTTTTTGCACTTCTGCTTTTGATATAAAAATACTTATTCATGCATAAAGCCAAGGACTCATTCAGTTTTATGTCATTTCTGCAAGCATTATTTTTGACAGCACCAGTGCTGGTGTGATTACCTTTGGGGCACTAATTTTCCTCTGTCTCCAGAGTGTCATCTGCCAAGCTCTTCAGAAACATCCGTTTCCATCATCTCCCTATGCATTATTCGGGTCAACTCGTTCCCCTGTATATGCACTTGTTTTTAAACAGGATTTGCTCAGGGGTAATAGTGTAAAGCATTAGGAGCAGGGATCCCAACAGGGAAGGGAGGCAAGAAATCTAAAGCAAATGTGAAATAGCTAGGAAGGAAAGCAAACCAAAAGAAAAACCTCACGGTGAAGCTGATGTATTAACAGTAGGTCAAACAAAGGATGGAAGAATGCTATTTTTAGTTTGCATCTAGGATAGATCCAGGACCTGCTCTGTATCTGGAGTTCCAGCAACTGATGGGAAGGTGTATATTTATTTTCAGGGAATGGCTGATGCTGCAAGACAGACTGCAGAATGCAGGATGTTTCAGTGCATCCTGGGTTGGACTTTTAGAATTGTAATTCTTGGTTGTTTGGCTCCTGCTCTGCCCTTTCCAAAAAAAAAAAACCCAACCAAAACAAACAAAAACCACCGCAAAAAACTGTACTGTTTCCAACCAAGATGTATATGGTAGTACTTGTAACAGTATTTATGTGGCAATAGGTGGGCTGATGGGACACCTCTTTTTGGTGTTTTGTAATGAGGTGCTTCATGAATTCCAGCTATTACTTGGAATAGGTCTAAAGATGCTGGTGAATTCATAAGCCCTTCTTGTTTTCATGAAGACCTCCTCAGTGTGAATTTAAAAAAACCAAAGCTTATTATTAGCTGATGCATGAGCCTGATTGTCTTCTACTGAGCAGGCTGCCTTAGATTGGGTCCAATAGCTTTGTACCACTGGAGCTTTAAACTCATGTTTCTATGTAACTGCATGATTTTTTTGCTTGTGCCTCTGAAAATGGGAAGAGCTATTAAAAGAGGTAGACTAGGACTAGGGCTGTGTGGTTTCTTCTCTGCGCTGTAGCCTTAAACTACTGTGGTATTTATGTATCTCTTCTCTCTTCTGCACAGTTATTCATTCCATAAAATAGTGGAAATTATGCAGAGTTATTTCATACATAAACATAAAATACTTGAAATGCTTAGATTCCTTTAGCAGAGACACCAGCAAAAAGGAAAATGTGATATGATTATGCTCCCTTTCAGGACATACTACAATGCAGAAGATATCTCTTCTGGTGCTCTGTTTTGATGAGAAGTGATTTTTAAAAAAAGGGGGGGGAGGAAGAGAGGGGGAAAAAAAAAAACCCTACTAAGATTAATTCAAGATGCTGACTGTGGGTCGGTCTGTCTCAAAGCCCTACTGCTCTAGGCAGGGAGGTATTCATGTCTTAGAGTGCATTAGAAGTTAAATTCCTGGAGTTGTTCAGTGCAGTCATGCTGTCTCTGTCCACTCCTCTCCCAAGGTTTCTTGAAGACTTTTTCCCATGACTCTTTAAAAGAAGTGAATAATGGTTAAAAAGTGCTCTGATAAGCATGCTGCAGCACTGTATGACTGTGGAGCGTCTGGCTTATTTCTAAAGGTATCAAGTCTCATGTTAAAAACGATACCTGTTTCTTTAAAACAACATGCTTGAATCGGCATGTGCAGCTGGGGGAAGATGGAAATCCTGTTAATGACACAGGTGGCAGAAGGATACTCTTGGAAAGGTGGGCAGAAGAACAACATGCGCGCTTGTGAACGAGCGTTTCAGCTACAAAGAGGGTCAGGTGCCGAGGAGCAAAACACATGCTACCTAGAAGCATTTGTACTGTTCAGTTTGTACTTGTGTGAAGTGGCAGGAGTCTTTGCGTGCATGAGTCACTTATTCAACAGTGGTGAGTCAAATCCGTACGTATCAGCCTAAGTCCTTGGCCATGCCAGCACCGGGGAGGAGCAATTTGAAGCATAATGGGGTGGGAGTACTAGCTTGCGGAAGTCCTCTGAAGTCTGCGAGGGTAGAAATCTGACTTTTGGAGAACTTACTATAGTTTGAAGCTTGACTACTTGGCAACTGTATTTCAGGTAGGCTTTTTTGAGGTTGAATGGCTTCTAACAATGTCTTAGACTCTAATACCAGTTCCTTGGTAGTCTAGGATCCCCTAAATCTAAAGCCCCATACCTGTGAATATCATCTTTGAGCACCTGTGAATTGCTGATTTAACTAAACTTTTATTAGAGTATGTCAGCTATTGTGTGCAATGCTCCCATAGAGGAGAGTAAAAGAGAAAAGTGGAGGAACTTGCTGAAAGGGCAATTACTTCTGTACTGATGGAAAAATAATGTATAGACATGTTTCTGATTGTGTAATGATTATGACTAGCTTGAAACACTGAAAGTTTCCCTTCCAGGTGATTCTGTGGTGCACCTGCACCACGGAATTTGTGGGCTGGAAGGGTGCTACTAGCCCTTGCCTTGCACGTGGGAACTGATGATTACTGCAGTTTCCAAGAGTTATGTGACGTTACTCGTTAACCTCTGAGGTAAGAGTGACTAGCCTAGAAAGCTGAGCTGCCTGCTCTGTAGTTACACCTTTCAAGCAGTGCCTAAAGTTTATAGTCACTGGTTTAGGCAAGCTACTGCTGTTCACAAATTTTTGTTAGTTTTCAGGCTTGATGTTGAAGGTAGTGCTTTTGGTTTGGTTTTTTTTTTGTTTGTCTCTCCTGAGACTTGTCTGTCACAGTGTTCCAGGTCTTCTGTTTTTCTTGGCTGAAAAGAGATTGCGACAAACCATCTGACTGTTTCACTCTTGTTTTTTTTGTTTTTTTTTTTCTTTTTTTTTATCTCTTCCTCTGTCAGGATGACAACTGGGGTGAGACCACAACAGCAATCACAGGCACCTCCGAGCACAGCATTTCCCAGGAGGACATTGCCAGGATCAGTAAAGATCTGGAGGACAGTGTTGGGTTGGACTGCAAACGTTACCTGGGCTTAACTGTGGCGGCTGTTCTTGGACTCCTTGTCTTCCTCACCCCCATCGCCTTCATTCTGTTACCCCAGATCCTGTGGCGGGATGATCTGGAGCCATGTGGTACTGTCTGTGAGGGATTGTTCATCTCTGTGGCATTTAAACTCCTCATTCTCCTGATTGGGACCTGGGCTCTGTTCTTCCGCCAGCCGAAGGCAGATATACCCAGGGTGTTTGTGTTTCGGGCCCTCTTGTTGGTCCTCATATTTCTGTTTGTGTTTTCCTACTGGCTCTTTTATGGTGTTCGCATTTTGGACTCAAAGGACACCAACTATCAAGGAATAGTGCAGTATGCGGTGTCTCTGGTGGATGCACTACTCTTCATTCACTACCTGGCCATTGTGCTGCTAGAACTACGGCAGCTGCAGCCCACGTTCACTGTCAAGGTAGTTCGGTCAACAGATGGAGAATCACGATATTACAGCTTGGGACACTTGAGGTAGGTGCAAGCCCTTGAAGTCCAGGGGATGTAGATAAATGTGGCTATAAATGTGGTTTTGGTAGCACAAAGCACCAAGCTTTTGTTCCAGTGATATCACTGGTTTCAGAATCTCCTCCCAGAGGAATCCCAGAGTCTCTCAAAAATTACCAAATTGAACCTCTGTCTTTCTGTGAGCATGGGAAAGACCATCCTTGCTTCAGAGGGCTAGCGTGCATTTCTGTAAATGAAAAGAGCTGATGGCACAACTTGAGGCTGGTCACTGGGCTAAGCCTGATGACATCCTTGTTTTAAGTCCTTCTCTGGGCCTCTTGCCCTGTCCCCTTACTGAAGGAAAGGGGAGAGGCTTCGTTATTACCTGACTGAGGGTATCTGTGCTTTTCAGTTGTGTGGGCCAGATGCCAGTTTGAGAGCACCCCTTCAGGCCACGTGGAGCCATTTGTATCACTTTTCAGAGGCTGCTGACAGCAAGCCAGTCCCTTGTGTTCATGTGGCAGGGCTGAAGGAAGTAAGCAGCCCTGTTTGAGAAAGCATTCATCAGTTTACATGCTGTTAACAGCATCTGTTTGTCCTTATTGCCTTGTGCAGCCAAGAATCATGTAAGGGACCTGAATGAATGTCCCTTGAGTCAGATCCAGCATCATCATTTGGATTCTGTGTGAGCCATGAGTGGCTGTTTGAAGCACTTCAGATGTTTGAGCTCTGAAGCCTGCTACTGTGACAGGTAGGGACTACCTTGAAGGACTCGGCCAGATAACTACACAATGGGATCTGAAGGCTGCTTTCAGTGACTGGATGCTCTGTCCTTGTTCTTGAGGCCAGCAGTTGACCGAGTTTTGTGCTGCCATGGAGGAAATAGTGTTTGCTCCTTCTGAAGAAGTTGCCTAGATGCAGCCAGCATTTCCCAGCAGTTTGGTAGGCACTTAGGAATACTGGTTTTAATGAATGCTGGGGCACGTGCAGATGCGGGAAGTTTATTTTTCTTGGCAGCACTGTGATGCTGCTGGTTCAGTTCTGTAGCATGCTGGTATCTTGTTTCTGTCATTGGTATAGATCAGTTTGCTGGCTTAGATGTACCTGGAAGTGATTAGACCTTTGGGAGCTGTGCATTATCTATAAGTATATGACTCATGCATGCCAGCTTCACCCTTCCTGCTGGGGTTAATGCTTTCCTCAACAAAGGTACAGGAAAGGACAGCTGTCTAAAAAGACTCCTTAATTCCTGTGCCTTATGAAGCTGTCTAGAAATCTCCTTAGTTCTTGTGTGCTGTGAAGGTAGCAGTGGAACTCTGTGCACGATTCCCCAGACTGTGTGTGCGCTTGAACATCTGTTCAACTTATCTTGTCCAGACCCCTGTGGCATGCATATCTATTGCAGATGGAGAGATTAGTGTCTGCTGGCTTAAGTGGATGTAGGAACAGTCTCCTGCAACCATTTGCTTAGTAGTGGAATTACTTTGAAGCAGATTTAGTGGTTGACACTCGTGTCTGGGAGTTGACTCCTGGATGTTGCTCCTGGCTTAATGGAAGTACTCATGGTCTTTTGAATAAGCTAGATCTGGACTCTGCTGGATCCTCCTCGTCTGTAAAATGTGAAGGAGAGTCCCTTTTCTGTCGTGGAGGGGACTTCTGCTGACTTACTGAAAGGTCATCTTCAGGGCTTAAAAAAATCACCTAATCTCTGCTGGTTTTCTTGTGAAATAAGAACAAATATGAGACTTTGCTCATGAATTCCTCTGTAGTAAGTGGCAGCCTTTTGGACAAGGAAGGTGGGAAGATGGCTATGTAAGAGTTCCCCTGTGGTAGGGCTTTGTATCTCGAAGTGTGCCAGGGCAGTTGTCATGTAAGTGAATGCTGCACTGAAAGTTCATTATACGTGTGTGTGTGTGTATATACCTATGTGTGCAGGTTTGGCTTGAGAGAGTTTAATGGGTGCTTGGTACTAGATCACAGGTTTGTGTTCAGAGGAATAAGCACCTACTCTTGCCAATGTCTACATACGTGGCTTTAACAGTGTAAGTAATCTTGCCATCTGAGGCAAAGAATTTGTTTAAACCTCTGGAGAATGAAGGCCTAAAGACTCGTAGCACGCGTGATAGGAACAGTGTTCTCGCAAATGTTCTCCTTGCAGCAAGGTATTTGAAATGCCTTGGGTGATGTGAAGGCAGCAAAGAGTTGTTAAATTTAGGGAGAAATTTGAGATGTATGAAAAATTAATAATTTCTCATTTGTTGGCAAGCTGATTGCAATTTTGTTTGGCACATTGAATCCAAACCACGTAGAATGTAGGAGCTTCAGAGTCTTGTGTTACAGGAGGGTCTTATCAAATGTGCCTGGCAATGGTAAACCAGTGTTGCTTTTCCTTAGTTAATGGCAGATGAGTATAACATGTATTGACACATGTTTTGAAGCTCATGGATTGCCTTTTTGTTGTTGTTAGTGTAAAGGTGGAACCGTGTAGATTTGATTAGGGGCCAGATGCCTTCCGACTAAGGGAATGCTCATTTTTCTGCCTCCCTTTTGTTAAAAGCAACAGGGGAGTTATTTGTGTGTAAACCCTAAGAGCTGCTGGTCTTAATACGAGATCTGGCCCTAGTATGATAACACCTTCACTAACTTCTTAGGGTTTATCTCCTTCAACTCATAATCATATGTCTTCAGAAGTTACATAAAACGTTAGAAGGTTACGAATTCGGAACATCTTTGCAGCCTCATTTTTAGCAAAGTCTCCACAAAGGCCTTAATATGCTTGTCCGTGAAATGTCAGCCAGGGTTACGGAGGGCTTGCCTCTGTCTGGTTGGCCCTCTGGCTGAGGCACTGGACTGAAACAGGAGGTCTCTTGGTGAAAAGTGTTGGACAGGAAAAATGTGGAAGTGAGCAAGGACAGCGTGGATTCTTCAGGAAGACTGAAGCAGCCTTGCAGATGTGCTGCAGAGATGGTCATAACTATGAAGGGGTGTATATTCACTACCTGTTGCTGCCTGTGAGCTTTTTCCGTTCACCACAGCATGTGCTTGCCTCACGCCAGTACTTCTAAAGGTGTGTCAGGTAGGTTGCTGACTACTGCTTGACAGGAGAAAGTGTGCTTTAACAGGCATAGAAATCTCACCGTCTCCTAAAATCATCCCAAGCTTCCTCAGCCTTGCCTTTTGTCCTCTTAGAGCTCCCAAATCTCTAAAAGTTTTGGTTCCTGGCTCTCCATGGAGTCCTCCTTCCTCAAAAGCCCAGCGTGCTCCAGAGGCTGGCAGCAAGAAGGCTCTCGGGACGTTTTGTTCGGTGTTACTTGTTGGGCCAGCTCCAGATTTTTTTTTTTTTTTAAAATAGCAAAATCACTCGCATCAGCCTTTTAATCCAAGCTAGAGGCTTTGAAGTTTTGTTTTTTTGTTGTTGTTGTTGTTTTTTTCCCCTGATGAGGCATGGAGAGTTGCTGTGTAATTGTGAAGAGAAAACCCTCCTTGAGGGAGAAGGGAAGAAATCAGCCACCCTTTTGGAAAACTCTGTTTTTTGCCAGGCAGGGTATGGACAGGATTTTCCACCTTCCCTGGCTCCAAGTTAAGGAAAGAAGCTGAACTTGCCGAGTTAGGTATTCTACTCTGCCCCTGAGGGTACTAGGTCCAGGAAGGTAAGCATATCTGGGAATAGTTTCCCCAAATTCATATTATAATTAACCTATTAATAGACTGGCTTGGTCCCACCCCCAGCACTTTGGCTGTAACTTTTCTTTTGGGAGACTTGACTGCATAAATTATCGTTCCCTTTGGCAGTGACTCAGGGTAGGGGGGAAATGAAAATTAAATTGGAGTCTCCGTGAAGATCATGCCAAATCTGTTTACTGACTGCATGGCTGCTCCTGGTGGAAAGACTTGCTGCACAGGGGAATGCTTTATGGTGATACGCGTATGGGTAAAGAGGAGGGAAGAGAGTAGATACAAGAAAGGAAAGCCTGGGAAAATGTGAGAGGTAGGGTGGGGATGCTGGCAGGATTTGTGAAAGCAAGAACAAAGGGAGACAAAGTGGTGGGAGAGAGGAGGTAGATAACTTTTCTTTTGAGGCACTGGTAGTTTGAGCTGAAGCTTTGATTTGCAAGCCTTATGGATAGGGACATTGGTGGCACCTGTCATTCACAGTTCAGTTTCTGCTGGATGGCTCAGAAATTATATAGGAAGGACACTGCTGGAAAAAAACCCTCCTGTCCTTTCATTAGGATGCTAAATGTATTCTCTTCTCCAGTGAATTGTCTTTCCCCACCCTAGAGTGCTGCTAGTCTAGATGGCTCAGGAAAATGAATAGCTTCAAATGCACATGGTAATTACTGATCTGTAGCTATAGACTTGAGTGTTCAGCCCCAGTATAGTCTTGGTTTTCTGAGGTTAAAAATATTTGTTAGCGAGTCTTTCTCCTCCCTTTTTCTCTTAAGGGAGGATGTGAGGAGCACATGACAGTTCATTCATGTATTGGGCTATGTGAAGCACTGAAGGATTCAGGCTGCTTTTCCATTCTCCCTGGCATAGGTTTACCTTTATGAACAAGCTATCTGAGAAGCTAATCTAAATAAGAGAAGCTTAGCACTCAGAAATATTAGCTGCATGCGAAAAAAGTCTGTTAGTGTTGCCTGTCCCTCTGTGAAACGTCTGCATTTGGGTGGACTTTTGCTGAACTGTGGTTTAAAAACCCAAGAAGGGGACAGGTGCTTCCTTAAAACTGGTACATGGCTCTGCAAAGCCTAGAGGAGTTTTCATTATCTCAGTGAGACTCTTATAGCATGTGATTGCTCACAGACATGAGAATCTTGTAGCATGAACTTGCGCACGCCAAAGGAACAGATGTACAAACATTTACTGGAAGGGGAGCCTGTCACCAAGGCGAACTGAAACAGCTACTCTGCTGCCTCTTTACTTGGTGCTTGACCCTCAGGTGATGGTCACCCTTAAACATTTAATACAGACCAGGAGTTGTAACAGAATTGTGTAGTGGAAGCTGATGCCTCTGCTGAAACAGG